TCTTTTTTCCTTTGGTTTTATCTGTTTTCTAAAGATAACAATAACATTTAACACGATATTTGATTTCCTTTGCTGATTGTATCTCTTGCAACATTTTCTGCAATTGTCTTTCTGTGTATATGAGTTTTATCTAAACTGTCTCTGAGGCTGTCCCTGGGGTAGGTAGGATGTGAGACGGATCTGAAAAGCTGTTCGTATTGTTGGCACCCTTGGATAGCAGTCTGCTTGGATAAACATTCCAGGTTCTGACTAGTTTTCTTCACCCGTTAAAAAATTCTACTTTGTTGTCGACCCGTATGCTCTGTTGAAGTTGCAAAATCCGATACAGCCCGATTTATGTTTTTTCAGATGATCGTTTTTCAAAATGGGAAACGAAGATGGAATCAGGCCTTCACCCTACTTGCTCTGCTAGCCTTCAGAATATTGCACACTTTTGCATTTGAGATCGTGCTGGGAGGAGACCTTAAGACAAAGGCTCAGGGGAAGGGGGGTGTTTGGCAGGCATAGTGTTAAAGGGAGAAGGGGTGGGCAGTGGCCCGCAGGGCCCGTAGTAGGAGCTGGGAGAGCCCCACTGTTTCCCTCCTGAGGGCCCAGAGAGATTGGCACTGATGTCCCAGCTCCTGTTCACTGGAGCTCAGGAAATGCCATTCTGCCCTGTTGGGGTCAGGGCTGGGACACAGGTGCCGGGCCAGCGGGGAGCCTGCTCGGTGGCACTATGGTGGTGAGGTTGTGCTCCTTACCTCATCAAAATGCGTGGCTTACTTGAAAAGAACCTGCTCTGTGCTCAGTTTGCGATGACCAAAAGGAAGGGCTCAGGCTTGCCTTGGATAAGGGAGTGTTGGGTGCGGAATTTAAAGCTGCCTGCAATAGAAGGAGTGGGGCTGAGGCCAGAAAACGGTATGAAGCGAGCAAGGTCAGAACAGGAGCTGAGGGAGGGTGCAGTCCCCAGTCTGCAAGAGGAGTGGAGCTTTGTCCTATTAGTCGATGGTTTCCGTCACTTCCCAACCTGAGTGATGCACTGGAAATACCAAGGGACCCTTTGTGGACACGTCTTAGTCATAAGGAGCAGCAGCCAGTCCGCATAAAACTGGTGGCCTTGCTGGGCATGGGGCAGTGCCATCTGATACACCACAGGGGGCTCTCTTGCACTCCTCAAGTGGCAAAAGTAAAAAGTGTGATTGTCCCTAGAGTTGGGAGGGCCCAGAGAGCCGACGCTGTCAGAGCTCACAGCAGGATGGACACTGGTCTATCAGTTTGCTTGAGCTGTGGGGATGAAGTGTGGACACCACTCCAGGCCGTCTGTCCTGCGGTACGGACTGTGGGAAGCCCTGCCTGGTTTGAACTAAAATGTTCTGCTTATGTGTGTGGTGGCAAGAATTTGGAACAACCTAGAACCTCTTCGATTGGAGAGCAGAATCCGTATATCTGCCCGAGAGCATGCAAGGATCAGTGCAGAAACCTGTGTGGCGGTGGGCCAGAGAATCTTATGACCATGATGACAGCCTGAGCCCCCTTTCCATCCCGGGTCCCTGGCAAGCGTGGAAATCTGTGGGCAGTGGGGAGACCGTGTCTCTTCCCCAGCGGCCCCTTAGTGTCTGCAAACCTAGAAGAAAGAATGGCTGACTGGGTGGCCAGGGCTGGGTGATCAGCCTGAAGCCTCCTGTGGGTGCTGCTGGCCTCTAGATTCCAGCGTTCTTGGGACAGCCTGCCCCCTGTGGCCTGCTGTCGTGGTGTTGTCAGTGACAGGACACACATATTCCCTGGCTGTAGCGCTCAGGGTCTCCAAGGCAGTCTACCAGCGTGTGGGCAGGGGCTCCAGGGAATCCTGGCAGACAGATGGCGCCTCTGTCATCCCTGATGGGTCCCTAAGTGACCCCATCTCCAAACCTAAACCCAGTTCTGCAGACCAGGCAGAGGTGTGGACGCAGAGGACAGAACAGGTTCTTCTCCAAGAGGCTCTGGTGTAGCTCCTCTTGCCCACACTCTCTGGGAGGAGCAGTTCCTGGGCTCAGCTGCGATGCAACCCAGGCCCAGGCTGAGGCTGGCCAGGGCTCTGAGGTAGAGGCTGCTCATGCCTGCTCTTGCCCACTGTGTAATCTCTTGCCACACTTTGTGTGGGGCAGGGTGAGTGCTGGTGGGCCTGAGGCCAGGGGACAGAGTAAGTCTCTACGGGAATCCAGGGCTTCAGACACGAAGGATTTGTGGCACAGGAGGAGCCGCCTGCATGAGGAGCCCTGAGTGTTCTTCCTCTGGGTGATGGAGATATGCCACATAAAATGAAAACATAGTGTGGCGCATGCCTGTAATCCCAGCTCTCGGGAGGCTGAGGCAGGAGGATCTCTGTGAGTTCGAGACCAGACTGGGCTACATGGTGAGTTCCAGGTCAGTCTCAACTACATAGTGAGACCCTGTCTCAAACAAACAAACAAACAAACAAACACACACAAAGTTACACAATCTTGGAGGTTAGGAAATGGCACTGCACATGTATCTCTGGCAGAGAAAGATATTTTAACAATTCCCAAGTTCTTCCTAGTTCATCCTGAGCGGCCCCACCTCCCCCAGGCAGAGATGGGTGGGCAGAAGTCTGTCCCACCAGCTCAAGGTTGTGGCAAAGGACACAGACCTGGCCCCCACACAGGACTTTATTCTCCCACAGTCCCGGAGGCTGCACGTCAAACTGGGCAGAGGTAATTCCTCCTCTCAAGGCCTCTCGGGCTTGTAGTTGCCACTTTCTCCCTGTGTCCTCACATGGTCATTCCTTTGTTCTCTTGTGAGGAGGACACCAGTCAGATGGGGCTATGCCCACCCACGTGACTCCACTTCACCTTGATCACCTTGTTAAGCACTTACGTCCAAACACAATCACATTCTGAGGTACTGGGTTTTAGGGTTCAATGTAAGAACTTAGGGAACCCAAATCAGCCCATGTCTGGGGCCTACTCCCTGCTGAACCCACAGACCCCCTTGTCTCCTATGGAATTAGCAGAAATGTCTCTTTCTTCACTCTTGGGTCTGGCTGTCTTTCTTAGATCTTGCTCTTCCTGTTCACTTAGCAAAATGTCCTCAAACTCCCAGCCTCTGGCTTGGCATAGTGGCACAGATGTGTGCAATCTCAGCACTCTGAGAGGCTGAGACAGGAAGATCCCAAGTTTGAAGCCAGCCCAGGCAACTTAGCAGCTAAGTTTAAAAAATGGGGCTGGGGATGTAGTTCAGCGCAAAGGCCCTGGCTTCAATTCCCATGGCTACAAAACAAATAAATAGCAGCAGCAACAACAAAATCCTCTCACACTCTCGAGGGAGCAGGCTGCAGCCTTCAACCAGCAGGGGACAGGGATGTGGGGTCTCTGAGGCCTGAGGGAAGGGAAGACGCAGGGAGAGTCAACAGTTCTTGCACCCTGCTCACCCACATTTCAGAACCACGACATGGCGCAGTCTCCCAATGGATCGGCCACTGAGTGGAGCCTCAGAGAGGCGCCTGGCGGGTGTGGAGCCATGCACGAACCTCTATTGCTACATGGTCACCTGGATCCCTGGGCCCCTGGGTTCCATCCTGACCTGGCCGTTCTGGGAGCCAGGGAGGCCAGGGATTAGCAGGGTCCAGGTAATTGCTGCAGTGAGGCAGCTGGGGTGAGGACCTCCCCAAACCCTGGCCAGGGGGCCCAAGGAAGTGGAGTGATAGCTTGCTCTCCGCCTGACGTGTGAGGGAAGTCACTGTCACTGTGAAGGGTGAGTACGTCCTGGGGCCTGCTGATTGCTCCGAGCCAACCATCCTGCCCCTATTTGGCAAACTCCCCTACATCTAACAGAAATCTGAGACCCTGGCTCCCATTCCTGGGGTGTCACCAGCCCCAGGTACTGGGATCCTGTGGAACGCAGGGCTATAGCTACAGATAAAGACACAGGGTGGCCGCTTCAAGTTGGCCTACATGTAGAAGCCCCCATCCTGGCCTGTCACTGCTTCACCCTAATTCTGGCCCTTCCTGAACATTGCATTCACGGCCCATCTCCTTCGATAGGGAACACACACACACACACACACACAAACACACACACGTTCACACAACCTGCCCTAGTCCCAAAGAAAGGAGACGATGTGACTGCCTATAGCGTGTACTCCCTCTTCCCCCTGCGGGGCTGGTACATTCCGTACCCACATCCTGTAGTGGAGAATAAATGAGACCAGGGGAGATACAATGGAGGGGGAATAGCTGAGTGAGGCTCAGGCAGTCGACTGAGCCCTTGTCCTCTGGTCTCCTGGCCCATAGCTGGTGTCTGGGTCTGAGCTCTCTGTCTCCAGGCTGCCACAGGATGCTGTGGCTGGTGTTCCTGACCTTCCCCTGCATGGGGGCCTCCATCCCCATGACCCCTGGTGAGTCCTGACCCCGTCCCTACCCCCGGGGCTCACAGGACCAGTCCTGGGGCTGCCCATCTGCCAGAGGCCTCGCTGACTCAGTCCTGAGCACCTCCAACCATCCTTTGACCACCCCCACCTCGGCTTCCTCAGACCCCCGCCCAGGACGGGAGCTGGCAGGCATCACTGGGGGCTGCCCTGTCTCGGCCTGGAGGTTCCCGTGGCAGGTCAGCCTGAGGTTCTACAGCAGGCGCAGCCAGCGGTGGGAGCACATCTGCGGGGGATCGCTCATCCACCCACAGTGGGTGCTGACCACTGCCC